AATTGGAAGAATCTGTAAAGAAAAGATTCATGTTAGCGATGCAGGCATTGTTATATAGACAGATACATACTTTATAATTAGAGAGAGGTCCCTGATGAAGAGGTCGGTGTGTTGTTTATTCGGTGCGTTGATGGTTGAATTGGAAGAATCTGTAAAGAAAAGATTCATGTTAGCGATGCAGGCATTGTTATATAGACAGATACATACTTTATAATTAGAGAGAGGTCCCTGATGAAGAGGTCGGTGTGTTGTTTATTCGGTGCGTTGATGGTTGAATTGGAAGAACCTATTCGGTGCGTTGATGGTTGAATTGGAAGAATCTGTAAAGAAAAGATTCATGTTATATAGACAGATACATACTTTATAATTAGAGAGAGGTCCCTGATGAAGAGGTCGGTGTGTTGTTTATTCGGTGCGTTGATGGTTGAATTGGAAGAATCTGTAAAGAAAAGATTCATGTTAGCGATGCAGGCATTGTTATATAGACAGATACATACTTTATAATTAGAGAGAGGTCCCTGATGAAGAGGTCGGTGTGTTGTTTATTCGGTGCGTTGATGGTTGAATTGGAAGAATCTGTAAAGAAAAGATTCATGTTAGCGATGCAGGCATTGTTATATAGACAGATACATACTTTATAATTGGAGAGAGGTCCCTGATGAAGAGGTCGGTGTGTTGTTTATTCGGTGCGTTGATGGTTGAATTGGAAGAATCTGTAAAGAAAAGATTCATGTTAGCGATGCAGGCATTGTTATATAGACAGATACATACTTTATAATTAGAGAAAGGTCCCTGATGAAGAGGTCGGTGTGTTGTTTATTCGGTGCGTTGATGGTTGAATTGGAAGAATCTGTAAAGAAAAGATTCATGTTATATAGACAGATACATACTTTATAATTAGAGAGAGGTCCCTGATGAAGAGGTCGGTGTGTTGTTTATTCGGTGCGTTGATGGTTGAATTGGAAGAATCTGTAAAGAAAAGATTCATGTTAGCGATGCAGGCATTGTTATATAGACAGATACATACTTTATAATTGGAGAGAGGTCCCTGATGAAGAGGTCGGTGTGTTGTTTATTCGGTGCGTTGATGGTTGAATTGGAAGAATCTGTAAAGAAAAGATTCATGTTAGCGATGCAGGCATTGTTATATAGACAGATACATACTTTATAATTAGAGAGAGGTCCCTGATGAAGAGGTCGGTGTGTTGTTTATTCGGTGCGTTGATGGTTGAATTGGAAGAATCTGTAAAGAAAAGATTCATGTTAGCGATGCAGGCATTGTTATATAGACAGATACATACTTTATAATTAGAGAGAGGTCCCTGATGAAGAGGTCGGTGTGTTGTTTATTCGGTGCGTTGATGGTTGAATTGGAAGAATCTGTAAAGAAAAGATTCATGTTAGCGATGCAGGCATTGTTATATAGACAGATACATACTTTATAATTGGAGAGGGTCCCTGATGAAGAGGTCGGTGTGTTGTTTATTCGGTGCGTTGATGGTTGAATTGGAAGAATCTGTAAAGAAAAGATTCATGTTAGCGATGCAGGCATTGTTATATAGACAGATACATACTTTATAATTAGAGAGAGGTCCCTGATGAAGAGGTCGGTGTGTTGTTTATTCGGTGCGTTGATGGTTGAATTGGAAGAATCTGTAAAGAAAAGATTCATGTTAGCGATGCAGGCATTGTTATATAGACAGATACATACTTTATAATTAGAGAGAGGTCCCTGATGAAGAGGTCGGTGTGTTGTTTATTCGGTGCGTTGATTTGATTGGATCTGATGAAGAGGTCGGTGTGTTGTTTATTCGGTGCGTTGATGGTTGAATTGGAAGAATCTGTAAAGAAAAGATTCATGTTAGCGATGCAGGCATTGTTATATAGACATACATACTTTATAATTAGAGAGAGGTCCCTGATGAAGAGGTCGGTGTGTTGTTTATTCGGTGCGTTGATGGTTGAATTGGAAGAATCTGTAAAGAAAAGATTCATGTTAGCGATGCAGGCATTGTTATATAGACAGATACATACTTTATAATTAGAGAGAGGTCCCTGATGAAGAGGTCGGTGTGTTGTTTATTCGGTGCGTTGATGGTTGAATTGGAA